ATGCTTGCAGAGTCAAGATCAGCTGGTCATAAAGTCTCAGAAGTATTAAGTGACAATGGAGGTGAATTTGACAACAAAGAAGTCAGATCAATTTTGCAAAAAGAAGGAACACAACGCCTAACTATGCCTTATACACCTCAGCAGAATGGATGCAGTGAGCGTGATAATCGAATGCTAGTTGAAGCAGCGAGAGCCATGAGACTGGCTCATTAAGAACTGTCTCAGGCCCTTTGGGCTGAGTTAATTAATACAGGTGCTTACATTCTCAACCGAACTGGACCATCTTCTGTAGAAGGAAAATCACCGTATGAAGTGTGGTTTAACAAGAGACCTAAGATAACACATCTACGAATCATTGGTAGCAAAGCCTACGTTCATATTCCTATGCAGAAACGACGTAAAATGGATATTAAAGCTGTAAAGGGTACCCTCGTTGGATATGAAGGTGACGATGGCTACAGAATTTTTGTTCAACCAGGAAATAAAATGCTTCGATCAAAAAATGTTATTTTTGATGAGAAGGTTGTCAAATCAAATTCAGTGATTTTGCAAGAAGAAAGTTGTTCAGATGATACAGTTTCGATTGATGTTGAAATCAAAGATGAAAATAAAGAAACTTTGATTGAAGAAAGTATATCAATTGATGAAGATGTTCACAACCGTAGTTCAGTTTTATCTGATAAAGAAGATCAATCTGATTGTTGTAACCAAAAGACCAAATGTATGGTTTTACGTGACAGGAATGATATCAAAAAGCCATCTGGTTATGATCCTCTTGTTATGTCTGCATTATGTAAAGTACTTGAACCAGAGAGCTACAAAGTTGCCATTCAAAGGGATGAGTCTTCAGAACATTTATGTTAAGGTCGACTAATGTTTTAAACAAAATGAGAAGGTGTTAAGTTTTATGTTTTATTTTAAAACATTATGATTTATGATATACATTTATTTTCTTTGGACCAAATGTTCTTTGCTTTGTATGTAACTTCACTTTTTCCTTTTCTGTTGTTCCGGTTGATAAAAAACAAGTCAAGAACTTTGCTAAGTTGATTTCTCTTCTTTTAATGTCTTTCAATATTATATCAATTAATTAAACGATCTACGTGACAAGAAATTTAACACGAATAACTTTAAATTTACCTGGATTTTTTGTGAAATACCGAACAGATTACAGTAGATTACTAAAAATACTAAAATGGTATAAAAAACTGATTGATAAAATAACATAAATACACAAACAATGTCTAACTGAAAACTAAATAATTGTTGGTAGCAAAGTTCAAAAGTTAACACAAAACATTAAGCAGATTTACAATATCAAAAAAAAAATTCAATTGAAGATTTTGCAAAATCTGAAAAATATAAATTTAATCATAATTGTGTTTAAAAAGCGGATATATAACAATCAAAAACTTCAAAAACGATTTTTAGCATTCACAACAAATTAATAAATCAATTTAAGCAAAAGTTTTCATGTAACTTCATAAGTTTAGCAAAAACTCTGAAAAAATACTAAGGACACGCATACAATAAGTTTTGACTGCCAATTTTTGACACGTAATTAACATATAAGAATGGCCGACCAGAAGAGGAGCAAAGATAGCAAATTGCCTTAGGCCATAAAGATTAGGGGTGTCACAAATCACAAAGATTGGGAGTCACAAAAAACAAAGATTCTTGAGAGGCTACAAAAAGGGAAAAGGTTTAAAAATAGTGTGAAGAGCAAAACAATAGAAAAAAGGTCATCAACTTCTTCAAACCACAGGACCACAGATAAAATTTTTGCATCGCGCTTTTGGCAGCTCTGCATGCATGTACAGAGTGTTTTTTGAGCGATGGCGGATGCAGAATAATTTTATGCATCCAATCCAAACCGTTAGCCTTAACTCAAGAAGACTTAACACAAAGAGCTTTAACTGCCAAATTGCAATAACTCACCCAGTCAGCATTCTTTCCAAAGCATTGATGTACTAATATAAAGAACAATAGAAAAAAAAATGGAAGGAACTACGTTATAAAATAGAAAAAATGGAAGTAACGTTGAACATTTTTAAATTGGTACCGGATTAGCTAATATTTAAACAATTTCTTAAGCATTTATAATTTTTTATTTTTAAAATTCAATTTTTTTAAAAGTATTTTGAAATGAAAAATTTCTTAAAAACTGACGTTATAACATCGTCCATAGAAGCAGTTGGTACCATCAGTCAAAATGATAAAACCATTTGAATCTCTGTCGAAAAAAGGTGAGCATAATCCTGTCAAACTGTCATGGCAACACAGTAGACAGGCGTTGTCTGTGGTAACAAAACTTACTAAAATATGATACAAAATAAACAAACGAATACACGAAAACTATATTACATGTGCATATTTACATATTATTTAAAAAGTTTAAAAAATTATTAAAAATAGAAATATCAAACAATTTTTTTCAATTATTTTTGTCAATCAAATTACCTGAACTGGTACAGTTGCATTCAATCATGTTTAATTTTCTGCAATAGGACACACAAATTCCTTCTAAACAAAAGCCTCTAAACATTTTTGACGAGACTTTGAACATTAAATTAAAACAATTTTTGTAAAAATATTTAGAAAATTATCCTAAAATAACCTGTTCCAACACTTTTCAAAATTTTGTTTTACGGAAGACACTGGACAGGTTAAACTGACACCAGTAAAAAATTATTAAGGAAAACATTTCCAGCAACTTGTTATCGAATTAAATCAAACAAAAAAAAGATATTCACAAAAAGAGCTCAGGTGGCAAGACAAAGAATCTTCGTTTCTGCAAATTTTTTCGTTAGATGCAATTTTACAAGTTGGTGTGCAGCATTCCGAATTGAATGGACTGAAAACATTTATTGTGAGTAATTTATTTATGTTGTTTCATATTTTTCAATCTATTTTGTATCACCATATTTATGACTGAAATTAGGATATACAATAGCTAAAATGAAACCAAATTCATTGCCTTAAATAGGAATGAAAAATCAATAAAAAAATTGTCTTTATTTTATTCAATAAATCTTTACTTGATAGCAAAAGTAAAAAACATTTTAGTTCACAGTTTGAAAAATATATTAATAAAACCAAAATTTTTGATAATAATAAAGACAATTGAAATTAAATAATTTTATTAACACAAATACAAATCCATATAATTAAAACTTTTAGATTTGCGAGTTGGAAAGTATTAAAATCCACCTATTAACAGTTTAGTTAACATCTTAATTTGTCTACAATTAAATCTATTTACAATGTTTTTTAATATAAATCTACAGTATTATAATTTATATATTGAAATTTCAGAACAATAAGATTATTTTATCGGTTGAAATAAATAATAATTTTTAGTTTGTCCATAAATGGTTTGGAATATAAACAAATCTTGAAAAAATTATTTTTTCACCATTTTCATTTTTATATACGTATTCTATCATCATAGTCTCAAATTTTTTAATCAGGCTAATTTTTAAAAAATTATTTTTTCACCATTTTCATTTTTATATACGATATTCTATCATCATAGTCTCAAATTTTTTAATCAGGCTAATTTTTAGTATCCAATTGTTTTTTTATATATAAATTTAATACGCTTGCAAACTCATAGTATAATTAATTTACATATATATTTTGTGAGTCGACATGAATCTATAAGTACGTGAATTTATAAAGTACACCATCTCTAACCACGACCAAAAGTGCGTTTCCGTGAACACCTACCTACTTTTAGGATAGATGCGTTTCGTCCCTTATGGGACTCATCAGTAGCCCGAGTTTAAACAACAACTTAGTGCAATTATTATCGACTAATTATTATCGTGATTCTTTGAATTACTTTTAAAACACCTTTTGTAATGTTGTCTACTAAAATGAGTTCCATAAGGGACGAAATGCGTCTAGCTTAAAACAAGTTGGATGTTCACAGAAACGCACCTTTGGTAGTGATGAGAAATGGTGTACTTTATATATGTATGTATGTATGCATGTATGTATAAACATTCGGTAAAATTTATAGAATATTGTAAAATATATATATATATATATATATATATATATATATATATTTATGTACATACATAATATATGGAAAGTTTTTTTTGGCGCGCATGTGGAATGAATGGCGCAAGTGTGTATGTTGGTGCGCATGTTGTATGAATTGGTCAGGTGTGCAGGCTGGTCGAATGTCGTATGAATTGGTTTTGTGGGTAGGTTCGTAGAATATTGTATTAATTAGCTTTTGTGTGAATGTTGGTAGTATGGTATTGCGCAAATATAGTGAGTATGTTTGAGAATGAATGTTTTCTCAGTTTGTTTAGTATATAAGCCTTTTGGACAATTGTTTTAGAGGTTAGTTTTTGAATTAGTTTTTGGGAAAGTTTTCGAGTTAGTTTTTGATAGAGTTTGTTTTAGAGTTTGTTTTTAGGGTTATTGTGGTTTGTAATTGGTTAGTCGGTTCCTGCATGTTTAGTTGCTCTGGCGTTTAATGTTTTGGAATTTCGTTCATTATTACGGCAGGTAAAAATAGTTTTCGTTTACTAAGGATATTTAATTTAGTTCTGTCGTTGATTTTGAAAACATTTGATTTAAAGAATATGATAAGTAAATATTATTTTGTTTGTTATTTTTTTTTTGTTTATTAATAGAATTCTTTCAGTTAGGTTTTGTTTGTCACTTTTAAAAACTAAAACTTGTTTGAAGGAGACTTGCTAGCGGTTAATAGGGCCGGATTAACCGACCAGCAAGCAGGGCGCGATAACTCTTCCGCCCGGCCCGTGTTTTTCCGACCCAGAAATAAAAAGTTGTGAAGAGGCGAGCCTAGGCCAGAAGCGAGACTGCCTAGGCTGGCCGCGGCGGTTGTTGATATTCGAGCGAAAGATTCCGCCGCACACACACACACACACACACACACACACACACACACACACATATATATATATATATATATATATATATATATTTATATATATATACAATAATACATATAATAAATTTCATCGACTTATTATTATTATTATTATTGGCGTGCCCCATAACGGGACGTTGCCGTGTTCACAAGGTGCCTCTATTTCAAGCAATAAGGAGCAAGTCTCCAGGCGGAGTAAGGACCGTAATTGATGAGAGGCAGGTCTTTCTCTTCTGAGTGGATCCATGACTGTCTTGGACGGCCGCACGGTCGAGTCCAGTTCGGTGGCGGTCGGTCTATGACAGCTTTTAAATCCAGGTAATGATCCTCCATGGGGCTGACACAAGCTATGTGACCAAAGAAGTTTTAACAGGAGTGAGGAAACGGAGGGTTGCTGTGTTAATCTCCTTACCTCAACATTGGTGACGTGATCGCGGTAGGTCAGACGAAGAATCCTGCGCAAGCTCCATTTATCTGTAGCGTGTAGCCTCTTCAAATGAGCACCAGTAGTTGACCACGTTTCGCATCCATAGAGTGGCACTGAGATGATGTATGAGTTATACACCGATTTATTAAAGTTTATCAACTTATATTCGAATTTTTCAATTCGCCTTAGTAAATTTTTATCAACAAAACTGAGTCTGTTTAAAATTGAAACTTTATTTTTATTAACTAACATTTTATTAAAATTATTGCAGATAGATCTATTTCGACGTTAAACCGACATCCGGAGCTTAAACCCAGCAACTACACAAGATATGTTGATGATATTATAACAATCATTATTTAATCGAAAATTTATAAAAAATATTCAATAAATCCAAATTAAAATTTACCATTGATTATGAAAGTAATAAAAAAACTCCCTTTTCTCGACGTTCTTGTAACTCGCAACGAACACAACTTTCAAACCTCCGTCCACATTAAAGGTACAAATAAAGGAATATGTATAAACAGAAGTAGTGAAAGTTGGGTGAATAACTGATGAATATAAATTGTGTACGGTAAGATTATTTATCAATCGCGCCTTCACACACTCCTCATCCCCAGACGACGTTTCATCAGAAATCAAACGTGTCACAAACCTTCTTATAGATAATAATTACAGCGCAGATCTAATCAAAAATGTCATCAATAAAAAGTTAGAACATATGAACCAAAACAACAATAATAATATCAACAACAACCATAAAGGCAGTAACAATAACAACAACAATAATAATAACAACAACATCGGTTAACAACATTAACAACAATAACAACAACGGTAATTACATTAACAACAATAACAACAATTGCAATGACACTAGCAACCACAACAATAACAAAAACAATAATGCCATTAACAACAATAACATAAAAAACAACAACAATAATAATAATAACAATAACACCATATTATTGAAATTTCATGTCTTTGTCCTTCAAAATTGATGAAAAAATCATGAAGAAAATAATCCATAAAAATATTAAACCAACCAACCCGAACGATAGAATAAAATTTAGGATCTTTTACCAAAACTACAAAACATCAAACCTTATAATTTTGAATAATTGCCTGCCTCACAACACTTCCCTTTTGTCCTCTTTGCGACTATGCGCGTCTTCAAACTTCCTATATAGGGATGACTACTACAACACTTTCGCGTAGAGTCACTATGCACAAAAGAGATGGTGCAATAAAAAACCATCTAGAAACTTTTCACAACACCCAAATAACTATAAACCTTCTAGGTAACAACACAAAAATTTTATACAACAATCAACAGCACTACAACCTAAGAATCGCAGAAGCCATTTACATCGAATCTGAAAAACCTTCAATCAACATCCAGCAATGAATCCCGACAACACTTCCAACTCGAAGAATGAACAACATTAACGTTGATCGCATCAACCAGCAATTTAACAATGATAATATTAATAACGATAATGATAATAATAACAACACCATCAGCAACAACAACAATGATAATAATAATAATAATAATAACGATAAAAATAATAATAATAACAATAATGATAGTAATGATAATAATAATAATGATAGTGATAATAATGATGATGATAATAATAACTATAATAATAACAAGAATAATAATAATAAGAAAAAGAATAATAACAATAATAATAATAATAATAATAATAATAATGTTAACATCTTTTATTTTAACCACAAAAAAAATTACATTAAGATAGATGAAATGAAATAAAGTTTGAATAAAATAATAAATCGACGATAATCAAAAATGATTTAGGTGAAAAAATTATAAAAGCATATTCTACGTAGCTCGTCATCTAGTGAAAGAAAAACGAGAGGAGTACAACGAGAACAGATTAGTTTTACATGATTCATTTAGTCAAGTTTCTATCACAATAAACAGCGTATGATGAGGATATTGCAGAGTTAATAAGACTAATAAAATTGATCAGACCAAATAATGTCAACCAGCGACAAATCGAAACAATTGAAAAAACCTAGCGGCGAAATTTCAAGCGTGTTGATTATTATTTTTAATTGTCAAGTAAATTGTAATTATATTTTTTTAATGCTGCCGTTGGATAGGACATGTTTGTTGGTTTGCCGAGCATTGAGCAATTCTGAATTTTGTCTTTAATCGATTTAAAAATGGTCCCTTGGCAGCGGAGTGACAGCAAATGTTCTAGTTCTTCATTTACTTGCTGAGTGTCGATTTTGTGTCATTTGAGTCGGGAAGTATGTTGTCAATTTTAATATACTTATTGTTGACTCACTCCATAAGCATTTTAGCTCCTCGTGGCCGTTTGATTTAAGTTAATTTCCTAATTTTACTCTTAGAGATTCGGCAAATTGTTTGAGTGATTTAACATTTAAACCACCTGACTTATATGGAAGCGACATAGATACCAACAGACAGCTGCTGATAGGCAATGATAGCCATGTTCATACCGATTCGGGGATCAAGGTATTTAAGTTTTCACCAATCCAAGTCAGCGATGTATCGTACATTCGAAACTCAAACGCGCATTGTGACGGCAAGTAAAATCTGATGATTTGTAGTTTGAGTTGAGCTGTTGTGTTCAGTTCACTGAGAGTTGTTAATATATTTTGAATTTATTGATCATTAGATTGTTGGCCTTTTGTATTATTTCCTTCGAAATCGTATAATTTACCTAAATATACGAAGTGGCCTCCAATGTCTACTTGAGGAATATGTTTGTCGTCGATGAACAGCATCGGATGAAACTGTTCATAAGCACCTTTTCTTTTTCTCATGCCGAATGAGGAAATTTGTCTATCTTCATTGTCATTCCAGTAGCACCATGCATTGTTTATATCAATTAACTTTTGAGCACTTCCAGTGCTGTTAGCAACGATCGCCGTGTCATTTGCGAATTGTAAATACGCTCTTGTTTTTAATTTAGCTGTGGGACCCCATATGTAGCCAAATTGTTGATATTCGGTTTTTCAACTAGTTTCATTAGGAGGTTAAAGCAAAGGTTGAAAAGCAGTGGCGACATGGGATCACCTTGAAGCACTCTACGCTTGACTGGAATGTGCGGTGTTAGCTGGTCGCATCAGGAAACTGTTATTGAGTAGTTCGTGTAAATGCCTTTAATTAAGTTGCTTATATGAGATGGAATATGATGGAAGTTCAGAGTTGATGAGATGAAATTGTGGTTGACCTCTCCAAACGCATTTCGAAGGTCGAGTAGGGAAACAATTATAGTTTTTTGATGTTTCCTGGCATCGTTGAAAAGATGACTTAAGAGCTGATTATGCTCGGTCAGACCATCGATTTTTGGGTAGAACCACCATTTTTGAATATTTGTGTTGATCAAACTATTTTTTTCTAAGAAATTATATATTTTATTGTTGATGAATGATGAGAATATTTTATATAAAGTTGGTTGCAATGTTATGGGCCTGAAATTTGAAGGGTTGTTGGCGTCTCCTTTTTTGTGGATGAGAACTGTAAAACTCTTTTTCCAGCAAGTGGGGATATTGCAAGATACCCAGCATTGAACCAACAGTTTGTGTGGAATTGTTAGTAATATTGGGCATTTTTTAAATGGAATTATCAAAATTTGGTCGAAAGGGCATGGTGATGATTTTGATTTACATTTATGAATTATTGTTGAAATTTCGTAGTATGTAGGAGAGCTTGGGTTGCAGAGTGTTGGAGGCTTTTGTAATTTTGGAGCCCAGTTAAGTATTTGATATTTTGTTTGATGGGGATTGTTGAGAATTGAATGAAAATATTGATGGCAATCAATGACACCAAACAGTGGCTTCAAATTTTCTGTTTGGTCGAATATTTTCTTGCATGTTCCCCAAAAACGTTGTTTTAGCTGAGACGTGACGTCGACTGATTGCTCACATTTTTTTGACTTTATTTGGCTCTGAGCGATTTGCTTGTTGTGATGATTTGGTCATCGAAACGCTGATTGTTGTGGCCTATTAGCTTTAGCTGTTTTAATTCTTTTTTAGATTTTTGATTGATTTGTTGGAGCTGGTATTATTGACTGTTTGTTGTTTAAGAGTGCTATAGTTTGTGGCGAAATAGTTGTAAATCATTTGTTGGAAGGCCGACGTGAAGTTGTCAATATTGTCATAGCATGGAAGTGATTGTTGTTGTAGTTTAAAGTAGACGTTTGCTTCGGATTATTGGGTCGACGTCTTGGGTAGTTTGATGCCCGGCAGAGTGGATTCGATTGTGTCACTGGCCGGCGTTGATGGAAAAATTGGTGTTGTGCGACTTGGTTAGGGAAACGTTTGTTGTTCCGGAGATGATGCTGTGTCGTCAACTTCGTTTGTTGGGTTATCCGTTAGTTGAATTTCTTTATGCATTTTGCATGAGCGCTGGATCAAAGTCGAGAAAATATAAAATCAATAAATATTCACAATTAATTATAATCTTTTAATAAAAACTTTTGAAGTTTCAAAAGTTAACCCTTTCCTGCCTTTGCATCCTTTTTCGCAAAAACATGTTATAATATTATTTTCTAAATTTATTGAATAATTATCCGCAGAATTGCCATTATAAATATCAGGTGTAATGTTTGATTTATAATAATAATAATAATAATAATAATAATAATAATAATAATAATAATAATAATAATGAGAACTATTTTATTTCTTTAAAAGCCAAAATATAAATGAAAATTACAATTAAATATAAAATGATCAATTATTATAATAGTTAAAAGATTAAAATAATGGATAATTTAACATCAATGCTCGTCATTATGAATGTGTACAAAGATAATAAAATAATATAAAAACTAGAGTCAAGCTTTATTTCTGTCACAATATATTGCATAAGTAGACGCTATCGCAGAATTGATTAAGCTAGATCTAAAATCGTCACGCCAGTTTGTTTTAGTTTGAGATAAATTGAAAGAATTATAAAGTCAAGGCAATTTTTTGCAATGTTTAAAATCATTTAATAGGTTATTCTTGAGGTTGTTCTTGTACTTATCCACTTTGTAGTTTCTTGATTTGGTGTAATTGGTTTCATGACAGACTGTTAGTTCCAGTATTTCAATCGTTTTTTTGTAAAAGATTGCTATGTCTGGTCTGAGCGAGGTAAACAGTTGCGACACAAGGCGGATCGATTCTTCTTCGATATCCGCAAAAATGATTGCTCCAGGCTCGATGCATGATTTGATGTTGTTTAAGATGATGGCAAGTATTTTATTGTGGCGATTTAAAAACCTAGCGAGTACAGATGGCGAACCACAGTTTGATACTACATGCTTATTTGTTTCCTTGGCGTTACAGAGAGAGCATGCTGCGTTGTTCGTTTTTTTCCATTTGACTAGCGTTGATTGGTAGTTGTTGAATGAGATTTTTCCTTGTAAATTTGTATAAAACTTCTGGCAGGGATTTTGTTGCATTAGCTCAACAGGTGATCTCTGAGTCGTGAATGTTTTCCTTAATCGACTTTATCAATGTTCCTTGGCATTGTAGCGACGATAGATGGTTAAAGTCATTTTGGTGTTGGCGCTGTTTCAGTACGTTGCACGCCATTTGAATATCGTTGCTTTGAATTTGGTTGTCGACTTTTTTGTACTCGTTCTTTGATTCCTGCCACAGAACTCTCATTTCTTCCCTGGTGTTTGTTTTTAAGTGTCCCCGAAGTTTTAATCTCATTAGCTCTGTGTGATGTTTTAGCGATTTTATGTTTAGCCCTCCACTTTTGTAAGGCAACGACAAAACTTCAGCAACACAACTACTTACGGGAAAAGACAACCAATCTCTTACAGCTTTGCGTATCAACGGGTCTAGGCTGTTTCCTATCCAAGTTAGCGAAATATCGTACAATCGCAATTGGAATGATAATTGAGACGGAATGAAGCGACGTAGGATTTGAAGTTTCCATTGAGCTGTTGTATTCAAGTCGCTGATTACTTGCAGCACATCCGTTAGTTTCTTTTGTAGTATTTCTTTTTCCTTGACGTTTTTGCATTCAAAATCATAAGATTTACCAAGATACTCAAATTTGTCATCGACGCCTATCTGAGGTATTGTTTCGTCGTCTATTGTTAGCTTCGGCAGAAATTGTTCATATGCGCCATCCCGCTTTCGCATCCCAAATGAGCAACACTTGTCGACTCTTATTTTCATGCCAAACCATTTGCACCAGGATTGTTTGAGATTGATTAGAGTCTGAGCACCATCAGATCTGTTTGTTATAATAGCTGTATCGTCAGCGAATTGCAGCCAAGCTCTGGATTTTGGATTAGCCGCATGGCCCTATAGGTATCCACATTGTTCATATTCTTTTCTCTCAAACATTTTTATTAGAGGGTTGAAACAGAGGTTAAAAAGAAGAAGTGAACTGGGGTCATCCTGCAGCACTCCACGTTTCACAGGGATTGGTGGAGTTAACTGCTCGCGTACTGATACTGTTGTTGAATATTCGGCATAAATAGAATCAATTAAGTTGCACATCTGGTCCGGTATATGATGTTATTTTAGAACAGATGAGATGAGATCGTGACTAACCTCACCAAATGCATTTCTGAGATCTAGAAGGGTGACGATGATTGTTCGATGATGTTTTTTCGCATCTTTCATCAGGTGGGTAAGTAGATGAGTGTGTTCCGTCACTCCGTCTAATTTTGGATAGAAGCCCTTTTGTATCGAGGTGTTGATGAAACTGTTGTTTTCCAGATATTTGTGTATTCTGTTGTTGAGGCATGTAGAGAAGATCTTGTAAAGAACCGGTTGGAGCGTTATCGCTCTAAAGTTACCTAGGTTATTGGGGTCATCTTTTTTATAGATTAAAATTGTGAAGCCCTTTCTCCAACAGGATGGAATTGTAGCAGACCTCCAGCATTCGACTATTAATTGGTGAAGGATTGTGCGCAGCATAGGGCATTTTTTGAAGACAATTATTGAGATATGATGAAACGGACAGGGGGATGGTCTAAGTTTGCATTTTCTAATGACTGTTGCTATTTTGTGGTATGTTGGGGGATCGATGTTGCATGGAATTGTTGGTCGTTGCAATGTTGGAACCCAGTTCGGAAGGCGAAACTTGTTGTGAAATGGGTCGTGGAGTATGTTGTAAAAATATTTCTTGCAGTCGTCGATGCTGAATGATGGGGTTAAGCTGTTTGATGGGTTGAACAATTTTTTGCATGTTGACCAGAATTTGACTTTCGGTTGTTTTGTTATGTCGACATGTTTCTCAGCTTTTGCATTTTTCATTGATAACAGTTTTGTTTTTATTTGTTTGCTTAATGTGCTGATTTTCATGTCGAAACTGTGGTCGTTGCGGCCAAGTAATTTTAACTGTTTTAGGTCCTTCTTCGTGTTTTTGACTGTTTTATTGGGGTGTTGTGTTTTCGATAAATCTTGTGGCTTTACAGTGCCGTAGTTGAATGCAAAATAATTGTAGATCAGTGATTGGAATGAGGTGGTGAAATTGTTGATGTCGGATACATTTGGTAAGGACGTTCTGTGGAGCTGGAAGTATGTATTTGCTTCCCTCCAATGTTTTAGGGTCTTGAGTAGTTTTATTCCAATAAGAGGAGTTTCCATGATTTTGCTGTCCAACCTTTCAAGGGATGCTTGTTCGCGTTGTGGTAGTGGCGACAGTTCCAAATTTTTGTCAGATTTTTCTGGGGTTTCTAGTGATTCCTAAGCTTTTTAAACATTTTGCAAGAACGTTGGTGTTATTTCAAGCCCTTCCGACCCTTGCAACTCTTGCTACAGCAACATGGAATTAAATTATTATCATTATTAGTTAAAATATCGTTACTTTTAAAACTATTAAAAATGTTAGGAGATATCACAATATTATTTTTTATTAAAATTGTCATTATTATTCAACGTTGTTATAGTGCACCTCCAGGAGTGTTTTCCTACATTTACAAACTCTTTAAAACAATGTGGACATTTACCAGCGTTTACAGTTGAAATTATATTTAAAAGCAAAATAAAACTAAATATATATTTGAAATTAGATTTTATTAAAACTAGCTTAATCAACAGAATTTTCAGCATCTTTACAACTAGTTTTTATATTATTAAACTTTATAAAACCAATTCAAAGTAGGTAAAAACAGTGAGCAGACTAAAATCGACCGACTCTCATGTTTACACGATACAACAACAACAACAACAACAACAACAATAATAATGTAAACTCTTTTATTATTCAGAGAAAACCAGTAAAATCCATAATGATCAAAATAAAATATGTCAATAAAATGTTAAAATTAGTTAAATATAATTAAAATGATAAAATAATATAAATAGTCATCAACGCTCGTTATCCTGAAATAAGTGCCATGATGATAGCTTGTATAAAAATTGGAAACAGTTTGTTCACGCATTGTTTCTATCGCAGTACAAAGCATAAGATGACGATATTACACTATTGATTAAGCTATATCGAAAATTATCAGTCCAATTTATATCGATTAAAGACAGAATAAAAGGATTATAAAAACCTATAGGCGATATTTCAAAAGTTTTAATTAAAATATTGAAATGTTTAAAATCATCTACAATGTTATTTTTTAAATTATTTAAGCATTTATTCATTTTATATTGTTTCGATTTCATAAAGTTTTTTTCATGGCAGACGGTCAGTTCGAGTATTTCAATAGTATCTTTGTTACAGACGGCGATGTCGGGTCGGAGTGATTTGAACAGATCCGTTACTGGACGCACCAAATCTTTTTCCACGTCTGCAAATAATTCTATACCCGGCCTTGCATTTGCTTTTATGTTATCAATAATTATTGTGAGAATTTTGTTGTGGCGGTTTAAATATCTGCTCAGTGCAGAGGCGGAGCCACTATTTGATAGGACATGTTTGTTTGTTTGTACTGCATTACAAAGCAAACATGATGCTTTAGTAGATTTACCCCACCTGAAGAGGTTAGCATTAGTAGGTAGCTGTTGAATGAGATATTTTCTGGTGAATTTATAGAATACCTCTGATAGTTTTACAGTTGACCTAGACCATCGTGTTATCTCGGAGCTATTGATATGCTCTTTTATTGACCTCACAAGAGCACCTTGGCATCGCAACAGCAATAGATGATTGAAATTTGTTTCATATTGTTGTTGTAGGGCATTTATTGCTGGTTTTATTCCATCATTTTTTGAAATGAGGTCGTCAATTTTTCGGTAGAAATTATGAAATTCATTCCACAGCAGTCTTATTTCCTTGCTGGCGTTTAGCTTGAGATACCAACGGAGTTTTAATCTTTATAACTCGGCGTGGTGTTTCAGCGATTTGATGTTGAGGCCCCCAGTTTTATACGGCATCGAGATAACTTCAGCGATGCAGCTGCTTATGGGCAGAGACAGCCATTCTCTTACTGCCTCTATTATAAGGCGGTCCAGAGTGCATTCTATCCAGGTCAGCGACATATCATAGGTACGTAATTCAAATGTTATTTGAGAGGGGATAAAACGTCTGAGAATTTCTAGCTTCCATTGAGCAGTCGTGTCCAGTTCTCCAATTTTCTGCAGCAAAATTTTGAGTTTATTACATAATTCATTTTTTTCTCTGGTGTTTTTGCCTTCAAAAACGTACATTATTCCCAAGTATTTAAATTGATCGTTGATATTCACATGGGGAATTTTTTCATCGTTTATTGTTAATTGGGGTAGAAATTGTTCATATTTTCCATTGATTTTTTTCATTCCAAATGTACTACATTTATCTATTTTAAATTTTATACCCGTCCATTTACACCAGGCTTAGTTGAGATCGATCAACTTCTGGGCACCCTCAGAACTGCTAGCAAGTCGTCAGCAAATTGAAACCAACCCCTAGATTTTATTTTGGCTGTAGGTCCCCATATATATCCGCACTGCTGGTATTCCTTTGCTTCGACTATTTTCATCAGAAGATTAAAACAAAGATTGAAGAGCAATAGAGAGCTCGGGTCACCTTGTAGGACCCCCCTTTTTACTTGGATAGGTGAGGTTAGTTTGTTATCGAGTAGTCGGCGTATATTGATCTAATCATATTGCTGATCTGACTTGGGATGTGGTGATAACTTAAAGCAGATGAAATTAGATCATGGCTAACCTCACCGAAAGCATTTCGTTAATCTAATAGGGTAACAATAATTGTTCTCTGATGTCTTTTGGCGTCTTTCAGCAGATGAGACAGCAGCTGCGTGTGTTCAACTACACCATCAACTTTGGGATAGAAGCCCTTTTGAATATTTTTATTGATGAAATTATTTAAATTCAGATATTTGTATATTCTGTTGTTTATGAATGTGGAGAAAATTTTAAAGAATACTGGTTGAAGTGTTATTGGCCTGAAATTTGCTGGGTCGTTGGCATCTACCTTTTTGTAAATCAGAATTGTCAGCCCTTTTTTCCAGCAGGAGGAAATCGATGACGTTCTCCAACATTCAACAAGTAACTGATGAAGGATTGTGCGGAGTATTGGACATTTTTTGAGAACTATTACTGACATCTGGTCCAAAGGGCAAGGAGATGCTCTCGACTTGCATTTCCGGATAATTGAAAAGATTTCATTATACGTGGGAGGATTGGTATCACAGGCTATTGAAGGGTTTGGTTTTAATCCAATTTGGTAAGAAAAGTTTATTGCAAGAATGATCGTGTAAAATGTTGTTGAAAAATTGTTTACATTTATCGACGCCATGAGGTAGCAAATTAGGCGTCGGGTTGAATAATTTTTCACACATTGCCCAAAATTTGTGTTTTAATTGGTTTGATCTATCCTTGATCTTATTTGTTTGCTTAGCGTTTTAGTTTGAAGGTCGAAGTTGTGGTTGTTACGGCCTAGCAGCTTCAGTTGTTTCAATTTCTTCTTTAGTTTGTTGATTGGTTTATCGAATGTTGTTGTTGAATTTGTTTGTTGTTTAATTGTGCCGTAGGTTGAAGGAAAGTAGTTGTATATTGATGACTGGAAATCGATGGTGAAGTTATCAATGTCAGTGATGTTTGGTAGAGCTGATCTTTGAGAATGGAAGTATGCGTTGGCCTCAGACCATTGAATTGTTGTTTTAGGTAACTTTATCCCTGGAAGTGGAGTATTTTTATGACGGTATTTGCTGACGATGACGACGATGGAGATGTCTGTTGATGAAGCGGGGACGATGGTAGTGGTATCTCTGCCGCGGCGACACCCGCTGACGACGTCGATGGAGTCGCTCGATGGTGAGGCGGAAGCGATAGTTGTGGTAATTCTGCGGTGGTAGTGTTTGATGGTGTCAAAATGATGGAATCTTCATTATGGCCCATTGGAGAATTTATCGAATTATTTAAATTTTTGAATGTTTTGCACGAACGTTAGTGCATTCTTAGGCCCTTTTTACCTTTGCACTGTTTACCACAACAACAGGAAATTAGATTATTATCCATGTTAACAGAAGTATTATTTTAATTATCAACAAGTAAGTTTGGAGATATTACAATATTGTTGCTTTGTAAACGTACATAGTTATTATTGTTGCTGCTTAGAGTTGATTTTGTACAACGCCAGGAATGGCTGCTGAGTTTAACTTAGTTTTTAAAACAGTATGGGCATTTAGTTGAATTTACTAATAAGATTGAGTTTAAAATTAAAATTAAAATGATTGAATATTCAAAATTAGAGTTATTTAGTATTAATTTATTCGTCATAATTTTCCGCTACTTTTAAACCTATTTTTACACTGTAAAACTATGTAAAACTCGATTAATGTAAATAAAACAGTGAGCTAGCAAAAACCTGCCAACTCTTGTTACAATAATAATAATAATAATAATAATAATAATAATAATAATAATAATAATAATGAGAACACTGCTTTTATTTAATCAAATAATATCTATAATGGCAATAATCAATATAATGAAATTAATTTAAGATAACGATAATAAAATATTGAAATTAAAATTATTATAATAATAATAATGAAATTAATGAAATCAGCAGTCTACTTCGCTCATCATTTTATACAAATGAGTACTAATAGAGAAAGTTAGTTTAGAAAAGAAAGATTCATACAATATTCCTACAGCAATATATTGAATATGATGATGATGATGATAAAACCGAATTTAATAAATTGTTTCTAGAATGTTCTGACCAAATTAAATCAACTAATGATAAATTAAATGTATTGTAAAAACCCAATGATGAAATTTGAAAAGTTTTTATTAAAAGATTATAATTAATTGTGAATATTTATTGATTTTATATTCTCTCGATTTTGAAAAATGTGTTTCGTGGCATACTGTTAATTCCAGGATTTTGATTGTGTTATTGCAAACCAGAGCTATATGTAAACGAAAAAATTTAAAAAGTACAGACACTGGACGAAAATCTTCACCATCCAAATCAGCAAATATTGAAACATCCGAATTTGCGCAGTTTTTAATGTTGTCCAAAATCGTCAAAAAGCGATTATTGTGGCGATTCAAATACCTTTTCAAAGCAGCAACAGAGCTACAGTTGGACAAAACATGTTTTTTCGTCTGACGTGCGTTGCATAGTGGACACCTTGGTTCCGACAACCTACCTCATCTACAAAGACTGGAATTTGTTGGAAGTT